AAATAGACAAATTGAACACGTTTCCAATCATTCTCATTTTACAACTCCAAATCCATTTCCTTAAGTGTAAGAATATCAAATTCTTGTTACTTATAGAATCTACTAGATTCTAACACTTTATGCAACGATCCTTTTGTAATTCCTCTATCGGAGATTGTTACAAGACAATTCCTTAGATATGATGTCTCTCACTCAAAGTACATTCCTTTGAACATCCTTTTGCATAAAAGTTTCTAATCTAGACATAGATTTTCAATATTTACTTCCCAATATGGACACGCTTCCATATTTTCCATATGACAACTAATTTCTTAATAGAATCTTATCTATTCGTAATGATGTCGATATTGTCCATCTATTATGGAAACATTTCCATAATTTCCAATACTATACTTCCAACTACTCACAAGCAACCAATCCTCGTCGAACTTTGGATTGTCCTTTGATAGTTGTTTAATTATTTTAGTCAAAACCGATTCTAGTCCCTTTTCCCTCTAAATGCACTAGACATTTGGGAAATTTTAGAATGGTCAAACATTAAAGCATTTGCAATCCATCCTATACCCTAAGGGTATGGGACACGACGCACAATGTTTTATTTTCTATGTTGTCAAAAATTCGAATTATGAAGAGGAATGCCGTAATCATAATCGAAATTTTAAGAACACACTATGTACCCTTGACTAAATTTATTAACATTCCACAACCTAATCCTTTAGATTTGAAATGAAGCATAATATTCTCTCCCTTAATTATAGCAAAACAACTTTATAACACTTACTACTTTGCAAGGTTTAACTCTTGTTTTCTATAATTAATATTACGAACTTTGCAATACGTGTCTTAATAATCATACAATCATAACATTTATGCTCCCACTATCATGATGATTATTATAAAACATAACACTTATGCTCCCACTAGCTTCGACATGTATTCATAAACATCTTAACTTTCAGAAAAACAATACTTATTGAATTTCTTAAGTTCATGTTTCTAATACTTAGTGCTTTGATAATCTTTTATCAAGACTTCTTGAACTTATACACTTTTGCCTTAGATAGTTCATAT